TTTTTTTTTTTTTTTTTTGGTCTTTTTAAGACAGGGTCTCCCTGTAGCCCCGGCTGTCCTGGAATTCACTCTGTAGACCAGGCTGGCCTTGAACTCACAAGATCTGACTGCCTCTGCCTCCTGAGTGCTGGGATTAAAGGTGTGTACCACCACGCCCAGCCTTAGGTTTTTGATTTTTTTGAGACTGGGTCTCACAATGTAGCCTGGCTGGCCTATGTAACCCAGGCTGGCTTTGAACTCAGAGATCCACCTGCCTATGCTTCAGAGTACTGGGATTAAAGGCATGAGCTATGAAGCTAGGCAGCTCAAGGTTAAATATCCTAAAACTGCCAACCAGAAATGGTAAAATAGCAAGCAAAAAGGTCACCTTGTTAATAATTTTACCAATTTTTATTATAACCTCTGGATGGTGAAGATGGCTCAATGGGCAAAGAAACTTTTACTGCCCACCTAAGTTTGAGCTCTAAGACACACAAGGTGGAAGGCGAGAACAAAGTCCTTAAAGTTGTCCTCTGACTGTCATACTCATGATGTAGCACAAAATAGCTCTAATAAAAACACCTGTAGCCAAGTGTGGTGGCACATGCTTTAATCCCAGCACTCAGGAGGCAGAGGCAGGCAAATCTCTGTGAGTTCAAGGCCAGCCTGGTCTACATAGTGAGTTCCAGGACAACTGGGGCTAAAGGGAGACCCTGTCTCAAAAAAAAACCACACCTGTAATTCCAGCACTTGGGAAGCTGAGGTAAGAGCACCTCAGCTGAAGATGAGCCTAGGGTATATAGTAAGAACTTATCTCAAAAACAGAATGAAAGAAATCTGAATAGATCACAAAAGGGTGAAGGAAATCAGAGAAATTCTACAAAACTATTATCCCATTATCTGGATTCTTTTTGAGACATGGTCTCAAAGAGTGTTATAGTCTTCTGGGAGTGCTGTGTTAATGCTATGTATCTCCTAGAATACTACTAATGAAAAGACTGTCTTCTGTATGTCCACAAACCACTTCCTTACCACACAGAGAATCTGGTCCTCTTGAGTAAAAGAAGTGGTGTTGAGGGAGGGTCAGGGCTGGCCCTCAGCCTCGGCAGCTACTCACATGGCAGAAGATCATGGCTTGAGCGATGGTGATGGCTCCATACAGGTTGCACAGGGCCTGGAACTTCTCCTCTCTGTTATTGCAAAGGACGTAATACTGCTTGATGGTGTCCAACGTCTCCTCCTCACGCTTCAGTTTGATAATGTTGGGGTCTGGAACCACTTTCTGGGCAAACTTCCATACCGAGTCTTCAAAGGTGGCAGAGAAAAGCAGCATCTGGCAGTTCCTGGGCAGCATCCTGCAAGCGGAGGCCCCAGGCGCTTTGCAGGACTCCCAGGCTTTCACCAGGAACACAGTAAGCTCAGCTTCCCTAGTCTGGATGGACTACAGCCCCAGCAGGCTGTGGGGTGCAGAGCATTCCAAAGAGGAAGAGGAGCAGACCCAGGCTGGCACTGGGCTGAGGGTCCCAGGTGTCCCTTCTCAACCCAGGCCAGGAGTCTGGTGAGTGCTACTGTGGAAATGGCCCATCAGACAAACGCTGCTGCACACAGCGGAGGAAAGAGCCCACACAAGCAAGAGGAGTCTCTGCAAGCTCCTCCTGACAGCCCTGAGTAGCTATCATCACGTCAGCCTCATGGCTCCAGTTCCTACCTCTGGATGCGGATGCTCTGGTCTTGATGGCCCTGAGTAGCTATCATCACGTCGGCCTCATCCAGAACAAACACCTTGATCTTCTTGGGATCAATGAACTTGAGCTTGGAGCACCAGTCCAGGACGGTCCCAGGGGTGCCAATGACAATCTGCTCGCCGATCTTCTGACCTCTTTCTACTGTGGAGATGACATGTTTTCTGTGGGTATTTCAAAGGCAAAGCCAGCTCTGGAAATCAAAGCCTTGTACATTCTTCCAGAATTGTCAGAACATGTCAATTTGCAGTATCAAAACACATGAGGGACTGTGCAATGGCTTAGCATGTAAAAGCACCTGTCAGGCCTGAAGACCTGAGTTCATTCTCTGGGACTCACACTGGTGAGAACCCAGTCTTACACGTTTTCCTCTGATTCCATACACATGCCATGGCATGCATATACACCCCCATAAATAGAGAAAAAAGACAGAAAAAGAAAGCACAAAAGGGTGCCTTCAATGAAAAAGCCTTGGTTACTTCTCACACAGAACACCAATTCAATGCACTGCGAACTCAAAAATGTGAGTTTTTCTTTTACTTTCTCCTAAATTATGATGTAGCACTTTATCATTGTCTTTCAATTTATTTATATACATATATATTTTAATTTTATGTATATGAGTATTTTACCTACATGTACATAAGTGTACCCATGTGTACAAAGACTATGGGTAGAGGACACCAGATACCCTGGAACTGGAGTTATGAAAGGTTGTTACCTACCATGTGGGTGCTGGAAACTGAACCTGAGTCCTCTAGAAGAGGATTCAGTGGTCTTAACTGCTGAGCTATCTCTGCAGCTCCAGTTTACCTTTTCATATGATGTACTCTTATATAGTTCAGTGAGTTCCTCCTAAGTTGGTACTTATATGAGGCCCAAGATCCTGATACCATCTTTTTATTGTTTTCTAGCCTTTAGATATTCTACTTGTACAGCTAGATTTCCTCAGTACAAAGCTCTTTGGTCTTAAGAAAAACACAGTACTCTGAAGCCACAGCTGGTTCAAGTGGAAACTGATAAAACTGTTTACCAAAGTTACTAATGAATGTGCACTCTGTTCCATATTTTCATTCCCTGAAATCAACCCTGCCACTAAGCATGGTAGCAAAGGCTTGTAGTCTGATCACTGAGGAGGCAGAAGCAGGATAGCTACAATGTGAGGACAATTAATGAATACTAGGCCACTCTAGGCTATACAGACTTTACCAAGAAAAAAAAAAAAAATCAGAATTTTGGAAAATTTCTAAATACTACTTTAAGTATGAAGGTTCCCCCATGAGTATAAATTCCTCTGTTGAATCTGGAGGTAATCTTAATGCTATTTTATTTATTCTTTCACAATTTCACATACATAAACATATACATAATGTACTTTGCTCATATTCACTCTATTACCCCCCCCTTTTTTTTTAATCTTTTTGAGACAGGGTCTCCCTGTAGCCCCAGCTGGCCTGGAACTTACTATGTAGACCAGGCTGGCCTTGAACTCAGAGATTCACCTGCCTCTGCCTCCAGAGTGCTGGAATTAAAGGTGTGTGCCACCACGCCTGGCTATTATACTCTAAATTCCTTCTCTCCTACTAAAGTCCTTCTGCCAAATATGTCCTCCTACTTTCATGGTTTTTGTTTGTCTGTTTTAATATTTTTATTTTATGTGTATGAAATGTGTATTGCCTGCATGTATGCAACCGCACCCGTGTCATGCAATGCCGCAGAGGTCAGAAGAGGGCCTCAGATTCCCCTGGAACTGGAGAAAAGGACGGTTCATAGCTGCCATGTGGGTGCTGGGAATCGAACCTGAGTCCTCTGCAAGAGCAGTCAGTGCTCTTAACCGCTGAGCCATCTTGCCAGCCTATTTGTTTTTTTATATTTTGTGGCCCACTGCATTTAATTGATGGGTGCTTACACCAGCACAGGTGAGGAGTTATTTATTTAAGCAAGGGCAACTTACCAGTGCCTATGCCACTAAGGATTATGATTACCCTTCTTCCAATATATGCAAGTTAACGTTACATAATGAGATACATCAACATTTGGAAGATCAACATAAGTCAATAAGGCAGTATCTCCCAGATGACTAAGGCATGATGCCAGGTGATTACCTGGGATAAGAGATAGATTCAAAGTTCATTTTCAGGCTGGACACAGTGGCACACACTTTTAATCCCAGCACTTGGGAGGCAGAGGCAAGTAGACCTCTCTGAGTTCAAAGCCAGCCTGGTCTACATAATGAGTTCCAGGGCAGCTGGGGCTATAGGAACACCCCACCTCAAAAGATCAAATAATAATAAAATAATTATAAAAATTAAAAATAAGCAAATAAAATAAAGATATAGATCACAGGCACAGGGAAACAAGTAAAACACAATATATCAAGAACAACAACAAAAAAAACCTAACCCAGGCAAAGTGCCACGTGACTGTAGTCTCAGCACTTCAGAGACAGAGGCAGAGGGATCAGTTCAAGGCCAACCTTGGCCACATGGTCAAGAATGACTTTGAGGACAGCCTGGGATACAGGAGACCCTGTCCTAACTACGACTCACCCACATTCATATACAATTTTGACTTGGGACCAAATGTATATACAATTTAGACCACATTATAGTTTAGGATTTTTTAAGTTTTTAATTATTGGGGAGATGCATAGAGTGGAAGCCATGACAGTACATGTGCCATGGCTCTTGTGGAGGTTAGAGGACAACTCTATGGAATCAATTATCACCTTCCAACTTTACGTGGGATCCAGGGATAGAATTCAGGTTGTCAGACTTACAGCATCAGGTGGCAAGTATCTTTGCCTACCGCACCATTCACCAGCCACCCTTTTCCTTAAATAATGTTCTTTTTTTTTTTTCTTTCAATTAACGGATTTTATTAAGGCTGGGCTGTCCCTGCACTCCAGGAGTGAATACAGAGAGCAGCCCCAAAGGGAGTCTTCAAAGACTTTTTATACATACTCAGATATTTCTCAAAAGCGGGTCCTTAAATTTTCATTTTTATTTATGTGCTCGTTCATTCATTTATTCATTCATTCATTCATTTGTTCATTCATGTAGAGGGGGAGGCATGCATTGTACATCAAAGGACAACTTGTAGAAGTCTGTTTTCTCCTCCACCATGTGAATCCCAGAGACTGAGCACAGGTTGTCAGGCTTTGTACCAGTGCCTTAACTCACTAAGCCATCTCACCAGTCAGCTTTTGTTGATGTTTTTGGAAAGGGTCTAATGTAGTTGAACAAGGCCTTAAACTTGCTAGGTTCCCAGACTTACTTTTAACTTCTGATTCTCTCCTGTTTCAGCTTCCCAAATGCTAGGATTATATGCAACACCATACCAAGTTCCCTTTTCTTTGTTAAAATTCCTTTTATTTACTGTGTGTACGTATATTTACCATGGCACTCATGCAGAGGGATCAGAAGACAATTTGTGAGAGCCAGTTCTCTCCTCCCACCATGTGGGATTGGACTTGGGTCGTCAGGCTTGGCACCAAGTACCTTTATCTGTTGTGGCATCTTGCTGGCCCACCTTGTGTTTTTTGATAGGTTTGCTATTCTACCCAGCCTGAACTCAAAGTAATTCTCCTGCCTTAGCCTCCTAAATGCTGGAACTATAGGCAAGTGCTACCATACCTAGCCAATTAACTTGCATAATTATCATTTTTATTTTTTTTAATTTATTTTGATTTTATGTATGAGTATACTGCCTGCACATATGTAAGTGCACCATGTAGAAGAGGGCATTGGATCACCTGGGACTGGGGTTACAGGCAGTTGTTAGATGCCATATGGGTGCTGGGAATTGAACCTGAGACCTCTGTAAAAGATGGGGCTGAACCATGTCTCTAGCCCCAATTTTTATTTTTTGAAATAAGATCTTTTCTTGGTATCCAGTCTGATCTCAAACGTGTGGCAATTCTTCTGCCTGTTTTCCAAGTGCTAGAATAATAAGCGTGAACCACCACGCCCAGCTTTGAGTCAGTATCCTGCTGTAAGTTGTGGCTGATCTATTACTCACTATGTAACCCAAGTTGGACTTGAATTCATAACGAGTCTTCTGACTCAGCTCCCAAATGCTGGGAATACAGGAATAAGCCACCATGCATAGCTAGTAATCTATTGAATGCAACATCAAGTTAAGTATCTAAGGCAAACTGATAGTAGCACTCAATGGTAGAATGTTTGCCTGGTATGTGCAGGGCTCTGGGTTAGATTTATACGTTGGAGCAGGGAGAAAATGGTAGACTGTAGAGGACTATTAACAAGTCAGCAAGTAATCTGGTCACAGTGACACAGGCCTGTGAACACCACACTTGGTGGGTAAAGAGAGGAAGAGCTGAAGTTCAAGGCCAGCCTTAGCTGTAGAGACTCCAAGACCAACTTGGGTTACATGAGACCCTATCATTAAGAAAAAATAAATAAATAAAAAATAAAAAGCCAGCTGTAGTAGCACCCACCTTTGATCCCAGCACTTGGTAGGCAGAGGTAGGTGGATCTCTTATGAGTTCCAGGCCAGATAGCGAGTTCCAGGCCAGCTGGGGCTACAAGACCCTGCCCCCCACCCCCCAAAAAACCCCCAAGGAATAACAATAAGTACTGAAACAGATTTGCTAAAAGCAGTGCAGTTAGGCTATAGAGTGAGATGAGATGGGCCTAATGAGGTGGATATGATCATTACATTTCAAAGTGCAAACATCCACCCATCCTGCCATGCATGGTCTCTGCATAAGTCTCTTTTTTTTTTTCTTATTTTATGTGTATGCGTGTATTGCCTGCATGTAGGTAAGTGCACCCCTGTCATGCAATGCCTGTGGAGGTCTGAAGAGGCTATCGGATCCCCTGGAACTGGAGTTACAGACAGTTAGTTGCTATGTGGGTGCTGGGATTTGAACCTGGGTCTTCAGCAAGAAAAACCAGTGATCTTAACCACAGAGCCATCTCTCCAGCCCCAGGTCTCATTTCTTATACTCACATTTATTGCCTCGAACAGCATAAGCAAGCCTCAGTTCTGGATGAAATTTGCCCATCTGCTCAATCACTTTTCCTGTTTGAAGAGCCAGCTCATATGTTGGGGACAGGCACAGACACTGGCAGAGAAATCATAAAAGATGAGTTTAACAATAAGCCATCACACTGATGTTATTGCATCCTGAATAGTGCAGAGAACCAGGCTCACCTCTAAGCCTTTGGAAGGAAGCTCTCTTAGTGGGGGCCTTGGCTTAGTGCCAGGGGAGACCTTTGGAAGATACTACTTAAATGAATTCTACTTGATCAAGGACTGGAGTACTAACCTGTTCTGCTGGGCCAGACTGGTGCCAACAGTCACACTTCCCATTGTCTCCCACCAAATGGCACGCCTCTTTGCATGCTTCAAGGCAGGTAAGGTCTTCTAAGGTCTCACCTGAGGGTATCTGTCTGATGGTTCTACTCTGCTGAGCATGGCCAGGACAAAGGCAGCTGTTTTCCCAGTACCAGACTGAGACTGGGCAATCAGGTTCTGTGGGCTGAATTGGCAAGAACAGAAATAAAATTAATATTGGAGCCAGGCGTGAAGTGCTCGCCTTTAATCTGAGCATAGTAAGCAGATTCTCTGAGTTCAAGGTCTCTCTAGTCTACATAGCAAGTTCCAGGCCAGCCAGAACTACTCACTTCTGCTCTTGAGACCCTGTCTTAAAAAAGCAGGGGCACTGGACATGGTGGTGCATACCTTTAGTCCCAGCACTCAGGAGGCAGAGAGAGCTCTGTGAGTTCAAGGCCAGCCTGATCTACATAGTGAGTTCAAGCCAGCTGGGGCTACAGGAAAACCCTGTCTCAAATTTTTTTAAAAAGCAGGGAGGAGTTGGGTGTGGTGGCACATGCCTTTGATCCCAGCCCACAGGTGGACCTCTGTGAGTTCAAGGCCAGCCTGGTCTACATAGTGAATTCCAGGTTAGCTGGGGCTACAGGGAGACCCTGTCTCAAAAAGACCAAATAAAAAAAAAGTGGGGGCTGGAGAGATGGCTCAGGGGTTAAGAGCACGTGCTGTCCTTATGAGAGGACCCAGGTTTGGTTCCCAACACATACATGGCAGCTAATACCTATCCTTAATGCCAGTTCTAGGGTATCCAACTCCCTCTTCTGGCCTCTGGAGGCACCAGTATATATATGGTGCACCTACATACATTCAGGCAAAATAAAGCCTTAAAAAAATATTTTTAGGGGACTGGAGTGATAGCTTAGCAGTTAACAACACTGACTATTCTTGCAGAAGATCCAGGTTCAAATCCTAGCATGCACATGGCAGCTAACAACTGCCCATAACTCCAGTTCCATGGGATCCGACAGTCTCTTCTGTCTGCGGTCACTGCACGACATGGGTGCACTTACCTAAATGCAAGCAATACATGCATACACATAAAATAAAAAAATAATAATAAATAGAATATTACACTTGATCTTAGCCAAAAGGCCGAGAAGCGATATAAATAGAATATTAAAAAAAAATTTGTTTTAGAAGCTGGGCATGGTGGCACACACCTGACCTGTAGTCCCAGTACTTGGGAGGCAGAGGCAGGTGGATCTCTGTGAGTTCAAGGCCAGCCTGGTCTACATAGTGAGTTCTAGGCCAGCTGGAGCTATAGGGAGACCCTGTCTCAAAACAAACAAAATAAATAAATAAAGCTGTCTAAAATAAAACACTAACATTATCAGTTTATACTGTTGAGTGGGAAAGACAAGAACTATGTTCAAATCCATGTGATTTTCTCTGAACTTGCTGAAGTTATTTTCCTGAAGAAACAAATTGTTACAGTCCATACTGAAACAATATTAAGTCACTTGTTTGTGAGCTACCACACCTGGCAATAAAAGTCATTAGTGAAACACCAGTTTAACCAACCATGAAGTTATAGCTGGTCTATACTCACGGTTCAGCAAGCATCATGGGCAATGCATTCTCCTGTATCTTGGATGGCCGATTAAAGCCCATGGCATAAACTCCCTGGAGAAGCTGTGGTTTCCTAGGAAGAAAGAAACAGGATGGATTTCTAGCAATTGAAATTGTTTGAGAAGTCTATCATTAGGGCTCAAGAATGGGTCACCAGTTAAGAGGTTGTACTGTTCTTCCAGAGGATGTGAGGTTGAGTCCTAGCACCCATGTCAGATAGCTCATAGCAGCCTGTAACTCCAGCACTGCACTCATGTGCACAGACACACAAACACACATAATTAAAAAAATAACAAAATATTTTGTGCTGGAGATGATTCAGCAGTTAAGAATATTGGCTGCTCTTGAAGAGGACCTTAGTTCAGTTCCCAGCACCCACATGGTGGCTAACAATCGTCCTTAACTCCAGGTCAGGGGATCCGAAGCCCTCTCTGTCCTCCATGGGCACTGTACAACATAGGTGCACTTACATACTTACATACACACAGGCAAAACACTCGTACACGTAAAATAAAAATCAAAAAAATTTTTTTTTAATTTTAAAAAGTCTATCATCACATCTTTCCCTAGATCAAAATGCTTCCTACCTCAATCAAATCACTGTTTTGTTTTGTTTTTTTACACTTACTGTCTATTTGTGAATGTGTATGCTATGGTACACAGGCAGAGGTCAGAGGATAACTTGCAAGTCAGTTCTCTCCTTCCACCATAGATGTCCCAGGGATTTAGCTTAGGTCATCAGGCTTGGTGGCAAGTGTCTTTACCACCTAAGTCCTACTTCACCAGCACCAATTTTTTAAAAAATTATTATTGGGGCTGGAGGGATGGCTCAGTGGTTAAGAACACTGGTTGTTCTTGCAGAACACCCAGGTTCAAATCCCAGCACCCACATGGCAGCTAACAACGGTCCTAACTCCAGTCCCAGGGGATCTGACAGCCTCTTCTGACCTCCGAGGGCACTGCATACACATAAAATAAAAATAGTAATAGCTGGGCGTGGTGGCGCACGCCTTTAGTCCCAGCACTCCAGAGGCAGAGGCAGAGGCAGGTGGATCTCTGTGAGTTCAAGGCCATCCTGGTCTACATAGTGAATTCAGGGTGGCATCAGATTCCCCTGGAACTGGAGTTACAGAAATTTGTTAGCCACTGGTGGGTGCTGGGAATTGAACCTGGGTCCTCTGCAAGAGCAGCCAGTGTTCTCAACCACTGAGTCATCTCTCTGGTCCCTCTTTTTTTTTTTCCTTTTTGGGACAGTGTCTCACTATGTAGCTCTGGATAACCTGGAACTTCCTATGTAGACCAGGTTGGACTTAAACTCTGAGACCTGCCTGCCTCTGCCTCCAGGCTTGCACAACCACTCCCAGTTTATGTGGTCCTGGGGATCAAACCCAGGGCTTCATACATGGTAGAGGTGTACTCTACCAGCTGAGCTACATCCTCAGTCCAGGCACCATGTTCTTACATAATCATAACACATATCAATGAATATTATTCTTACATTGTATTTACGAGTGCTCTACTACCTCTATATTGACTAGTACTTTAAGAAAAACCACTTTGCTTTTTTTTTAGTCTTACTGTGTGTGTACGATACATGTATGTGAGTTCAGACACAAGCCTGCCATGGAGAACATGTAGAGGTCAGAAGACAACTTTCAAGAGTTGGTTCCTTTCTTCCACGATAGATTCCAATGACTGAACTCGTCAGGCTTACACAACAACAACTTTCACTTGCTGAGCCATCTTGCCAGCCCAGGTTTTTTTGTTTTTCGTTTTTTATTTTTTCTTTTGCTTTGTTTTGAGGCAAGAGTTCACGTGACCCAGGCTGTCCTTGAACTGGCTACATGGCTGAGGGTGGCCTTCGATCTTGCTTTGTCTGTCCTCAGTGCCAGGATCACAGATATACACTACTACACCCTGCTTTTCACACAGATTGTTTTTACATAAAGGTCAATAGCTGGGCACAGTGTTTCAGCTATAATCCTAGCACTCAAGAAGCTGAGGTAAGAGGATTGCCTTGAGTCAGAGACTATTCTAGACAATATAAGTTTCAGGTTAGTCTGAACTAGTGAATGAGACTCTGCCTCAAAATCATCATCATCATCATCAACATCATCATAAATAAAAATAAAAAATAGGGCTAGCAAGATGGCTCAGCAGATAACCACGCCTGCCACCAAGCATACCTGAGTTCCATCCCTGGAATCTACATGGTGTAAGGAAAGAACCAACTCTCAAAAATTATCCTCTGACCTCTGCACATTCACACACATAAATAAATGTAATAAAAGAGGCAGAGGCAGGCGGATCTTTGTGAGTTCGAGGCCAACCTGGTCTACATAGTGAGTTCAAGGACAGCTGGGGCTACAGGGAGACCCTGTCTCAAAAAGACCAAGTCATTAAAAAAAAAAAAAGACATGAGTAGAAGGAGAAAGAGGATCAGTAAGAGTGGGAGGGGGTCAAGTGTGGGTCACTTAAATACATTAAAATATATTTTGATAAATCAAAATATATGTATGAAAATGCCATAATGAAACCATTACATATAATTAATATATATATATGAGCTGGGAGCTGGGTGTGGTGATGCACACATTTAATCCCAGCACCTGGGAGGTAGAGGCAGGTGGATCTCTGTGAATTCAAGGTCAGCCTGTGAGTTCCAGGCCAGGTAGGGCTATAGGGAGACACTGTCTCAAAAAGACCAAAAAAAAAAAAAAAAAAAAAAGAAATTAAAAATAGGCCAGATTTGATGGTTCATGCCTTTAATCCCAGTACTCAGGAGGCAGAGGCTAGTGGATCTCTGTGAGGCCAGACTTGTCTACATAGAAAATTCCATGCCAGGGTTATATAGTGAGACCCTGTTTCTAAATAAATAAATAAAATAAATTTTAAAAAGAGATTTTTTTCAAGTACATCAGGACTTGTTCTCTAAGCTTTCCCTACTTCTCTAGATATTAACAGAATCTAAAAGGCAAACTCTTCTGGCCTAATATAAGTTCTCTGACACAAAACACCTTTAGTATTTTCCATTTAGAAATAAAGGCTGCCTCTCATTTGGTTGCCAAAGAATTACTACCTAATCAGGTTTCACCGACCCAACAAGTTCTACTGTTTCATTAGTTCTTTGTTTTTGTGCATAATTTCAATTCTTTAAGTATAAAATAATCCAAGCTAGGCATGGTGGCACATGCCTGCAATCCCAGTGTTTGGTGGGCAGAGCGGCAGGTTCCCATAGCTCAGTGGCCTGCCAATCTAGCCAGTGAAGGAGTTCTGGGCTCACTGAGAGGCCCTATCTCCAAAAACAGGTGGAGAATGATAGAGGAAGCCAACCAACATCAACCCCTCCCCATGTGTACATGAACCCATATGCAGAGGTGTACAAACACGCACACATCCAGGCACAGACCCATGAAAGAAAAAACAAAACAGTATGTTCTAGTTTGCTTTCCATTTCTGAGGTACCACTCTGACCAAAAACAATCTGGTTCCAGAAGGAAAGGGTTTATTTGGCTTACGGCTCAGGGTTCATCATCAAGGGAAGGGAAGACAGGAACTGGGGGCAGGAACTGAAGCAGAGACCATGGAGGAATGCTGCTTACTAGCTTGCTTCCCTGGCTTGCTCAGCTACTTTTGTTATACAGCCTAGGTCTACCTGCCCAGGAATGGCACTATCCACAGTGGGCTGGGCCCTCCTGCATCAGCAATCAAGAAAATGCCCCCATGGAATGCTCAATCTGATGGGAAGAAATGCCTCAATTGAGGTTCCCTCTTCCCAGATGATGAGTTTGTGTCAAGTTGACAAAAACTAGTATCCAGTAAAATAATTCAAGTACTTTAGGTGATCTAGGTTCCATCCCTTGTTTCTTTTGGCTTCCAACAACTAGAAAAAACTTGCTTTTCAAAGAGGACAATTTAAGCCTGAAGTGGTAGCTCACACCTCTAACTGCAGTACTGGGTTTGCTAAGGTAGAAGGATCTCTGCAAGTTCCAGGACATCCTAGTCTACATAGTGAGATCCTTTCTCAAACAAACAAACAAATGGCAATTTACTAGGAGCTGAACTGAGAGATCAAGTCTTTCAAATCAAAGGAATTTAAAAAAACAACATAGCTAGGCATGGTGGCACATGTCTTTAATCCCAGCACTCAGAGGCAAAGACAGGCAGATCTCTGTTGTGAGTTCAAGGCCAGCCTGGACTACATAATGAGTTCCAGGCCAGCAGGGGCTACAGGGAGATCCTCTTAAAAGGACCCAAAAACAAACTGATCTTGGAAGAACTAACTTGCTCTCTGGAAACAATAAAGCACACAAAATTGCTCTGATACAGTTTAAGAGAAAGGGGGCGTACATGGTGGTGAATGCCTGTAGCCTAACACTTAGGAGGTTAAGGCAGCAGGATCACTGTGAGTCCCAGGCTAGCCTAGGCTATATAACGAGACCTTGTCTGGGGGGGGGGGGGGGACAGGAACAACAAATGACAGATTTGGTAAATAAATGAAGCCCTTGACAGAAGAAAAATGCACATAGAAAAACCTAATTTCCTGAGAAATCTTGAAAGTCAAACTTTAAGCGGGGTGTGGCAGAGGATATAGCTCAGTTGGTAATTTGGTAGCGCGCTTGCCTAGCATGCATGAAGTAGTCCCCAGCATGAAATAAACATGGTGTGGCAGCACATGCTTATAATCCCAGTACATGGGAGGTAGAGGCAGGAGGATCAGAAGTTCAAAGAAGTTTGAGGCCAGCATGGGCTATATGAAAGCCTATCTCAAAAACCAACCATTTTTTAATCAACAATTATTGTGATGAGAATTTGATATGACTGGGGCTGAGGAGATAGCTCAATTAAAGTGTTTGCTGTCCAAACATGAGGACCTGAGTTTGGATCTTAAACACCTATGTTAAAAGCTGAGTGGTGCTGGTGGCATGTACCTATAACCCCAGTGCTAGAAGATGGAAGCAAGAGGATCCCTGGGACTTGTTCAGCAGACTTGTCTAGCCAAATCAGTAAGTTCCAGGTTCAGAGAGAGATCCTCCTGCCACTCCCGTCCTCGGTGCACCTGCGCATACACACACAATACCTGAACTAAGATCTCCACTTAGCATTTCAAGTGGTCAGTACAGCATTGTTGACTGTAGAAACAGTGTAGAAACAGTGTGGTACAGCCTGGTCTGGTTATGAATAATCAAAACACAGACCTGACAGAATAACCAGCCAACTGCTTCTGAAGAGCTATTACATGAACTTTATCATTAAGTGGCCCCTTCCCTCAAAGCCCAGCCTATCAAAGGTTGCTTTCCAATCTAGGTATCAGGTTCTTCAGACAGACTTTCTAGAAGATAAAAAATGTTTGTAAACCCTACAGTCTTACAAAAGGGTTTACCTAATAAGATATGTTCCTGACATCCAGAAATCACCTGTCAGCCAATATTTTATTCAAAGTTCTAAGAGTATAAAAGAAAAAAGGAAAAAAAAAAAAAAAAAAAAAGACTTTCAGCTATGATGAAAATTGTAGCATTTAAGTCTCCACTAAGAAAGCCAAGGGTTGTGGTGCATGCCTATAGCCACAGCTACCCATGAACTCGGAGGGGAAGATCCCTTGAGCCCAGATGTCCATGACTAGCATGGGCAACAGAGACCAGAGAGTGTCAGTCTTCAAAGTAGCTGAGATTACAGGCCTGTACTGCCAGCCCAGTTGATCTAGTATCCAAAGATAAAGAACACACCCCCAACCCCAATACACACAAAGAGCATAGGCATCAAATTTGCTATGTACCCATAGACCTTGAACTTTGTTTGTTTGAGACTGGGTCTCCCTGTAGTCCCAGCTGGATGAGAACTCACTACAGAGACCAGGCTGGCCTCAAACTCACAGAGATCCAACTGCCTCTGACTCCCCAGTGCTGGGATTAAAGGCATGTGCCACCACACCTGGCCAAACTATTTTTAGTTAAAAAATGTTATTTGGATCTGGAGATAAACATTTGGCTCATTGGTTAAGAACACTATCTGCTCTTGCAGAGGACCTGGGTTCAATTCCCAGCACCCACATGGAGGCTAACAATCACCTATAACTCCAGTTCCAGGGGAATCTGATGTCCTCTTCTGGGCTCCACAGGCATTGCATAACAGGGGTGCACTTACATACATGTAGGCAATATACTCATACACATAAAAGTAAGAAATTTAAAAAAAAAATTATTGCCAGTTGTGGTGGTGCACACCTTTTAATCCCAGCACTCAGAGGTAGAGGCAGGCAGATCTCTGTGAGTTCAAGGCCAGCCTGGACTACATAGTGACTTCTAGGCCAGCTGGGCTACAGGAAGACCCTGTCTCAAAAAAGACCAAAGGAAAAAAAAAGAAAAAAAATTGATCCAGGATCCAGGTTGTCCTCTGGTAGTATGGATCCTTACTATCTTCATTTCTGATATAGACTAAAGATTTGGAAGTCTCAAATCAAAGCCTGTGAGTACTCATTGCTTTGAACAGCTGTTCTTTCCCACCTCCTCCCCAGGAAAGCAGCATCTCAGGTTCTTCTGAAATTTTTGCTTTAATTTTTTTTTCTTTATTCCATCTGTTTCTTTAAGTAGCTAATAACTGACATGCTTCAAAAGTGAATGTAGGAAGGGCTGGAGGTGTAGCTCAGTTCATGGTATACAATACTTGCTAAGGAAGAACTGAGTTTGTCCCTACCACTACACAAATATTTCTGATGTGGCATGCCTATAATCTGAGTATTTGGGAGATGGTGAAGGTAGAAAGGTCAAAAGTTGAAGGTAAGGACTAGAGATGGCTCAGTGTTGAAGAGCACTTGCTGATCTTGTAAAAGACCTGGGATCAGTTCCCAGCATCCACATGGCAACTAACACTTGTCCATAACTCCAATTCCAGTGGGTCTAATGTTCTCTTCTGGTCTCCCTGGACATTGCACACATTTGGTATACTTACATACATGCAGGCAAGACACTCGTACACACAAAAAATAAATACATAGGTCTATGACCTCTGTCTAAATGCAGAAAGTAAACAAATACTTACAGGCGAAGCTCTTCAAAAGACTTCACTGAGTAGAGGGGGGAGTTTGGATCCCGTTGCAGGACTTCCACTTGGTTTGTGGTATCCACAAGGTTGCTTCTGATCAGTTTGTTGAGTAAAGACTGAGCAGCTCTGTCCTCTGTTAGGAAGAGAGCAGCAGATTCTCTTCATGCACACAGGGAAAACCCCACCCTTGGGAAAATGCTGTCTCCCCTCCTGGCACCAGACCCTGACAGGCACTACAGTTGGGAGAAAAACCCAACCAACCAACAGGTCTCCCTTTTTATTTCTAATTACATCCAGCCTGCCGCCTTATTTCTTGAAACAGTCTCTCAATGAGCCTAAAGCTTATAATTGGCTAGACTGGTTGACCAGAGAGCTCTGGGGATCCTCCTGTCTCTGCCCCACCCCTGCTCCAGTGCTAGGGTTACAGATCCAAACTCAGGTCCTCATTCAAGGGAGATACTTTTCCAACTATACCATCCCCCCAGCTCTGACACACTGCTTTTGAGATATTCCACTAACTTGGGGACATCACACTCTTTTGATTCCCTCACCTACCTTCCATAAATTAGTGTGTCTCTGGCTATATGTGGACAAGCCCTAGGTAGAATGTTTTGCAACAGAGCTTCAAAGAGTAGTTACCTTTCTCTTCTTCATCTGTCTTCTCTGGCGTAGTACTGGTTTTGACAACACCTACACAGGAAAACAGTTGTTATCAGAAAGGCAGGACAATGTAAACACTAAAACACTAAAGTGACCAAAATGTAAATAGCTGCCATTCCTCTATGTTTAAGGGAATTTATGTCTATAAAGTATTTAAGTGCATAAAAAGATTAAATTTAAAGTTAGAATGATGAAAATATGTCACCTGCAGGCCTAGAGAGATGGCTCAGCAGTTAAGAGCACTGATTGCTCTTACAGATTTCCAGAACCCACATGTTGGCCCTCTTCTGACCACTGAGAGCATTGCATGACACAGGTGCATTTACATGCCTGTAGGCAATATCTCATATACATAAAATAAAAATAATAATAAAATTTTTTTTAAATTTTATTTGGCCAGGCGTGGTGGCACACGCCTTTAATCCCAGCACTTGGGAGGCAGAGGCAGGCAGATCTTTGTGAGTTCGAGGCCAGCCTGGTCTACATAGTGAGTTCTAGGACAGCTGGGGCTACAAGGAGACCCTGTCTCAGACAAAAAAAATAAAATAAAAATAAATAATTTTATTTGTAATTATATGTATTATGTGTGTCTGTGAACGTAAGTGCCCACAGAAGCCAGAATAGGATGTCGGGGGCTAGAGAGACAGCTCAGCAGTGACGAGCACTTGCTGCACCTCCAGAATACCCAGGTTTGATTTCTAATCCCCACATTAGGTGGTTCACAACAACTCATAACTGCTGTTCCAGAGTATCCAACACCTTTTTCTGTCCTCCATAGGCACCACATATATGTGGTGCACATACATACATGCAGACACTCATATGTACATAAATTTTTTTTTAATTAAAAAAAAAAACTTGTTGGGTTTCATGGTTTAAAAAAATAAAAATAAATAAAAAGATTGGGCTAAAGAGATGGCTCAGAGGTTAAGAGCACTGGCTGCTCTTGGAGAGGACCCAGGTATGATTCCCAGCACCCATATGGCAGTAACAACTGTCTGTAACTCCAGTTCCAGGGGAATCCAACACCCTCTTCTGACCTCTGTAGGCACTGCATAGGTACCCTTACACACATGCAGGCAGTATACTCATACACATAAAATAAAAACAATTAAAAATAAATAAATAAAAAGAAAAAAAAGAGAAAGAAAAATAAAAAGAAAGCATCAGATCCCCTGGAGCTGGAGTAGTTACAGGTGCCTAATGTGGCTGCTGAGAATCAAACTGGTCCTATTGCAAGAACAAAAGGCACTCTTAACCACTTAGCCATCTCTCCAACACCTCTTCTAAAAATTGCAAATATTTATACTTTTTGTTTGTTTGTTTTTTGAGACAAGAGTCGCCCCATAACCCCAGATGACCTAAAATTGATACATTGACTAGGCTGGTCTCGATTTCACAGAGATTTGCCTGCATCTGTCTCCCAAGTGCTGGGATTAAAGGTGTACATACCAACACTTGACTTGTACTCTTTAAAAAAAAATTTTTTTTTTCGGAGCTGAGAATTTATTTTTATTTTAAGTGTATGAGTGTTTTGGCTGCATATAAGTGCATTGTGTACATGCAATTCCCATGGAGGCCAGAAGAGGGCGTCAGATCCCCTGGGACGGGAGTTAAGGATGGTTGTTAGCCACCATGTTGGTGCTCTAGAACAGGAGCCAGGGCTCTTAACTGCTAAGACTTCAAATGCTTATACTCTTGACTAGCAAATCTATTTTGGGTGTATTTATTCCACAAACATAATGCACACATATAAAAATATTTAAACTCAGTGGGGCGTGGTGGCACATGCCTTTAATCCCAACACTTGGGAGGCAAAGGCAGGTAGATCTCTGTGAGTTTCAAGCCATCAGGGGTATAGGGAGACCCTGCCTTAAAAAAAAAAAAATAAAAATTAAGGCCAGGTATAATAATGCACACCTTTTAATCCCAGCACTTGGGAGGTAGAAGCAGGTGGATCTCTGAGTCCAAGGCCAGCCTGATCTACAAAGTAAGTTCCAGGCCAGCTGGGGCTACCAGGAGACCCTGTCTCAGAAAGATCAAAAAAAAAAAAAAAAAAAAACAAAAAAAAAAAAAAAAAAAAAAAAACCCAAATAAAATAAAAATTTATATTCGTCCATAAATCAAAAAATATTTTTCTTTTTTTTTTTTTTTTTTGTCTTTTTGAGACAGGGTCTCCCTGTAGCCCCAGTTGGCTTGGAATACACTATGTAGACCAGGCTACATTAAAAAAAAAAAAGGACAAATCCTATACAATATACTTAAATAATGATGTATTGACATAATGCAATACAACATGGAAAGCTTGTAAAGGAATATTGCTGCGTGAAAAAAAAAAAAATCAAGCATACTGTGCATTATCTTATCCCTCTTGGAGGTAGATGGTATCTTGTAGTGATAGGGTGGAACAGGAGGACAGAGAAAGAGAAGGGAATGTTGTGGGGTGCTTCACCAGAGAAGACCACTCAGACAAGGTTTTGCCTAATGAAAGTCGTTACTGGCTAGGGCTACTGCACAAGGGTGTCCAGAACCCAAGTGTGTAGCACTAAGCCATCCCTAGGGTAAGCTTTTATACACAGAAACTATAACCAGGGGTGAAAAGTTTAAGTTCCCAAGCTTACAGGTGGAGAGCCCCCTTAACAATTTCTATTCTATTAAGCAACAATTATATTTTGCAGAAGCAAGCCAAGCATAACCTACAGAAGCCATAAATCTGCAGTTAGTAGGTGCACTCTGGGACAGTCTGACCTGTTCCCAAGACAACCAGGGTCTAGCTGACACGTGTTCCCATACCCTGGGCCAACTGCCTGATAATTTCAGAGACTAGAGTCAACCTAAACTTCAACGTGGCGTAGCTGTGGTCAAGAAAGTACCCTATTACAGAATCCTCAAAGTATGAATCCTTATTTGTCTTTTTTTTTTCTGTCTTTTTAAGACAGGGTCTCTCTGTAGTCCTAGCTGGCCTGGAACCCACTATGGACCAAGCCTCAAACTCATAGAGCTCTGCCTGTCTCTCTGCCAGGATTAAAGGCATGTGCCACCATGCCTGGCTCTATATGTCTTATAAAGGCACCTTGGAAAAAGGAAAAAGAAACTTTGCAATATTAAAACACCAAAATCAGGCATGGTAGTACACATCTGTAATCCCAGCACTCAGGAGGCTGAAGTGGGAGAAATGCCGAAATTCAACACCAGCTTTGACTATGTAGCAAGACCCTGCCTCAAAAAACCCTGTAAATAACTAAAATTAAAATGAAGTAAAACTTCACTAACAGTAGCTACTTCTCTATTAGGCAGTTGAACTGACTACCCTTAAAACTTGTATCTCCTCATCCTAATCCCCAGTACCTTCAGAATGGGACCATATCTGGAAATGGGGTCACTGTAGATGGCATCAGCAAAGTGTGCCCTAATCCAAACAACTGGAGCCTTATAAAAAGAGGAACTTAAGGCTAAGGAGTAGCAGAGCACTTGCCTATCATGTTTGGGCTAGAGAAATGGCTCAGCAGTTAAGAGCATTGGCTGATCTCACAGAGGACCCAGGTTTGGCTCCCAGCACCCACAGGACAGCTAACACACCTCTGTAACTTCAGTTCTAGGAGAGCTGAAGCCCTCTTCTAGCCTCCAATGGCATTGTACACGTGAGTGCACTCACATACATGCAGGTGAAACACTGATAGACTCAAAATCAGTCAGTCAAGGAGTACTATTTAGGAGAACATCACGTGAGATGAAGGATCAAGGACTGTCAGCAACCCACCAGAAGCCAGGAGAAGCCTGGAACAGAATATTTATCCAGGTCCTGAAAAGCAGCCAACTTCACTGACTCCTTGGACTTCTGGCCTCCTGAGCTTTGAGACAATACAATATTGTGGTTTAAAACATCCATCTTTGAGGTACTTTGTTAGGAGTGCTCCAGCAATGAACATGGGTAGCATGGGAACAAGTGAACACTGGAGCATCACAGGAAGAAGGCTTTGGGCCTGTTTATACTTTCTGAGCTGCTGGGTTTTTTTGTTTTGTTTTGTGTGGGGGCACAATTTTGGGATGCTGTGTTTTTTTGTTTTGTTTTGTGTGGGGGCTGGCCTAAACAACTTACAGCAATCCTGAGAGTCAGGGTTACAAATGTACACCACCATGCCTGGTTCAAACCCAGTTTCATTTTTCAAAATGTTTAAAGAAACATCAAGTGATCAGGGGAAGAACAATCCAACAGTGACTTTGTTTTTAAGGCATGAGAGGCTGGAAAAATCTAGAGAGCTGACACATTCCTTCCTCAGGAATGTGCCCTAATTCAGACTCTCAATTCCAGTGCTGATGTTTGTAAAATGTGCTAAAGGACAGTTCCACTGCTCACTGCAGCTGGGAGCTCTTAGCAGAACAGGTGGAACCCAGTGCACCTGTCTGCAGTTCCGTGACTCACCATTGGTGTCCGGCTTGACTTTCTCTTCTTTGATCTGCAAACTGTTCATCTGAATAATAATAAAAGGAAACAGTGAGCCAAAGGCCTAATGAAGGAGGCCTAGTGAAAGTCTAGCAAAACAACTGCAGAACCGTATTCAGGGTGTTGGTTTGTTCTACTCATAATGCTATGGAGAAAAGTAACAAAAGGTCTCAAATGTGTTTTTCTTCTAATTTATGCTCTTTCTAGAACATCTCAAAGAGGTTTTTGTTTGGGTTCTAGGTGGTAGGGATCAAACCCAGGACCCAGAACACAGATATGCTATTCTCTTTAGCCCCGAAACCCACTGTATTAAAATAACAGCAAATAACCTACAGTAATTCTAGCACAAGAGAGGAGGCAAGATCAGATAGGCCTCAGAAGTTCAAGGTCATCCTCATCTACCTACTG